GCGCCTCAGGAGATGAAAGAAAATGTTTTTCTCCCTGAGTCTGGCCTTCATAATTCCATTCCATCGCATTATTTTATTTATTCATCGCACTCACAGTGGTGTGGGCAATCAATGCTGAAGTTCAGTTTGATCTCTTTGACCCTGATGGATGAGTCCACTTAGGCAGAGGGGGCCTGTAGGTCCTCACCCAAAGATGTGAGAGACATGGCCTGCCCGAAGGATCCCAGAACAATATTTTTAGCATTTTTAGCTAAAATGTGGAAATGGGTCTCTGTAGATATTGCTGTTTTATTTGCCTATGGAGAGTAATACCCTACCAAAGACTGAAACAGAAGCCACGATTTTGCAAGATTAAGCAAACATTGTAACATTTACTGGAAAAGGTTGCTTGCTAAAGAAATCATTAACCAATAAAATCCTGTGCGTTCCTCTTGTCTAGAGATAGACCTTACTTCTTTTCCCTATGCAGGTCATATGGGGAGCATATTCACTTCTTTCCTATGCAAGTTTCCTTGTGGAAAATTTGTCCTTTGCATCTCCTAAAGCAATTACTTACTATAGTTTCTTTCACTGCTTAGTTTAGCTGAAAAAAGACTTATAGGAGGGACAAACAATCTCAAAGCCAGCTGACACACGGAGATTTTAGCTTGAACTCAATGTGTTGTGGTTAATTTAGGATCCGTGTTGCATAAACTTATAAAATTCGGTTGAGTAGGCCATGGCTAAACTAACCATAAATAAACAGACACACACAGATCTAGAAATAGGAAGGGTTCCTCTCTGTTGCTACTCTGCACAAGCTGCTACTTTTGATCCAGACGGAGTGCCTATTTATTGGCCAGCTTTTCACATTCACATTTCTCCATTAATCAATCTTTGCAAATGAACAAACTGATTCATATTCAGCGGGATAAACTCTCCTTTGCACGTTTCTCTCAGGTTTGTCGCAGCTGGGTCTGCTTTGCTCTCCTTGAGAAGGAAGAGTCACGCAAGCAAGTCAGTAAATAGGGGCAGGGGCTACGTAATGGCACGTGTGGACAACCACCTGTATTCACAATCATTTATTCACTTAATTGTTGGCAGTCCCAGTGTCTGGAAGCATACTCATTTCTACTATCCAGGCGGATTGTAGTATGAGATACCCTGCACGGGGCGTAAATTTGCTCCCCTGGGGCAGGAAGTGGAAGGAACAGAGCACACGCTGTCTTGATCCTCTGCGCAGGTGCACATTTTGGAATAATACCCATGAGTAGGTCACCAACTCAAGTCGGGAACCACCAGGGCAACTGCAGACACGGGCACTGCGGAAAATCAAATGACCAAATGTCCACATGCATTCCTTCCATCCTTTAGTTGGCATAAAAATATGCCAGCAGAGTTTGCACTGCCCCAACTGCCTAACTCTAGACTAGGCATCCCCAAACTCTTCAGCTCATCGACCCCTTCAGTTTCAGATTGTTCATCGGCCTCCATGCTACTT